ATTTGGACCCAGGCTTTAAAGAGGTGTACCAAGGGATTTGCTGGCGTTGTTGAAGGGGTAAGGAGGCTACAAGCAGCCAGTCAGCATTAGGAGTCTTGTAATCGTGTAAAACGTAGTCAGTACAGTTGTACTGAATAAACTAGAAACCCGTAACAAAGTTAACTTATGCTGCAATACAGATCATTAGGGCTTTGTCACTCCACGGGAAATGTACAGCATTTATGGCCCTCATCCTTCTGTGGTATATCCAAGGGATACACGGCAGAGCCGCCAAGTGGATAGAGGTACTCTCAGGTTGCCCACAGGCATTTGTCAGAGTCAAATGCAATGCAACTACATCTCGTGGAGCCTCTGAGCGACTGCTTAAACTTAGCTTAGGAAGCTAGGGAATTACCACTGGATACCTGACAGGACAATAAAAGATACTCTCAGTAAAAAGTCGGCTCAATATATTGCTCTCAAGTTGAGAGTCTAAACACATGATTTGGTAACTATCACCAAATAAAGTAACTATAACCAAATCATGTGCGGAGAGAAACATATTTGGTTGACGTAACTGAACTCTTTTTTCAGTGTAAGATACTATCTTTTTAAAATAGGATTCTGATGCGTCGAAATGCAGTTTTTGTGGGCTGGTTGGCTGCAAACCTACGAGTATATACCCCGTTTAAGTAGTCTTAAAAATATGCACCTCATATAAAATTGTAGAACTATGTATCACCGGTATGCTAACGCGTTACATTCCGAAAGTTCCCTCACAAAATTGTGCAAATTGGATCTAAGGAAAATATACATAATTCAAAATTTCACTTTCACAGCACCTTTTCGCAATATGTCCTAGTATTAAGTATGCTACGCTCTATTCACGTATTCGCGTATGATTGGATTTTTCTTATTTAATTAAATTTTTTCTAACTACATATTTATGTACGTACACATTTTTTATCTCTCATGCAATCATTTTCATTTGTTCACTATAAATCACCGAGCATTAAACTATTCGAGGCGGCTCAAAAATACTTATTAATTGCCAGGTAACTCGCTGCCTCTCGTCGTCGAGGCCGTTGTCCATAACAAAAAACGAATTGATTTTCCACGAAAATGTCTACTTGATAGCCAACCGAAACGTACTGAAGTGCTAGCCGCACACGAAAGGATATAGCGCAATCCTGAACCAGCCGACATGAGGTCGTCGAGCAACGAAAATGAATGAACGATAATTTCCGCTCATTCGTTCACTACAAATGTTGCTGTTGTTGCTGTTGCGGCTAATGTGCGAAATTTTTATATTACATACAAACATACACACATGTTTATGTAAATATGTAAGTATGTATGCTCGAAGGTAGCTGAAGGAAATCGCAACAAGTCGTGCGGCGAAAACCGTAGCGAAAGCCATGTGAGAGCGTGCATACATATCGCACACCGTCTTCAAAAGAGTCACAACTAAAAAAATAATACGTTTGTCCAGAAAATTCGAAAAACTATTTCTTAGCACATGATAATCATATGGGCAGGGCGATTTTACCTTAGGTTTCCTTAAACAATTATAACAAAAATTTGCTCCTGCTTTTGCTGAAAGGCTCTGTGTACATTTTTAGCGCATAATTTCAAAACTGCTAAATTTTTAGTTGTGACTCATTTGAAGACGGTGTGCGATATGTATGCCAGTATAATAGCTGCTCATCGTAGGCTCAGACCAACACCAATAATGCATAGAATAGCAAAAACAACACACACACCATATAAATGTACATATATGTACATGCGGTTGGCTGGTGGGGTACGTGAATTTACTGTACGAGGCGGGAGTGCAAAGCCAACAACTACTTTTATTCGTACAAAATAGAACAGCGAGTAGCTACTACCACTACTACTACATACTACATGTACCACATTACAACCGCGCAGCAGCCGGCATTTTTCATACACCGCTTGGTGGGTGGTAAGCTTCAATTGTATTTCGTGACGGCGGCCGCTTCACCGAAATAATCAATAATGTTATTGCTGGGTCATGAATCCGAATGGCATATATGTACATATGTATGTACATACGGACATCACACTCTACCTCTGCCCGGCAACGCTACATCTCTGGATGCACATTCTCGTTACTAAACAGAAGGTAGTAGATCTAGGCACATCATTAGAACGGCGCCGGGTGTTGGAAGCTGATGAGCCACACTATAGCGCTAACATTTCATGCGACAGTTACTAAATATGTAGTTTATCAATGTCACTGAGACCCTCAAATGCTCACTGGACTTTGATCACGTTTTCCTTTTATTTTTGTGCATTCTTTATCATTTTTTTTTTATCACGCGAATACACACACATGGAGGATAGATGGAATGAAAGATATCAAGTAGTGGTTTCTGGTGAAGGGTTCAGGTGTGCAGGCAACCAAACGTGGTAAAGAGAGCGTACAAACAGTCTTATCGCTGTTATCGCTATTGGTATTGTTGTTTTTGTTGTTGCTGTCACTGATAGCCCCAACACGGCCGCCGAAAAATCAACAACACTCACTTTTTCTCGCACCATTTTTCATCGACTTGCAAAGCATTTCTCTTTTTATCACTTTTCAACTTTCGTAAATTAAGGGGGTGGGGAGTGGAGTGCGCGAAATTGTTGGGTATGCAGACGGAGAAATACAAGCAGACAAACAGTAATATGCTTGCAGGCTGAATACTAAACGGTCGGGACATTTGCTCGTTCGTTTGATATGCTCACACGGTAAAGGTACGTAAATGCATTTGCCCGAAAAGAGACACAACTCAAAATTACATGTTCGTTAGAAAATGCGAAAAAATATTTCTTAGCACATGCTAATCATATGAGTAAGGAAGACTTTACCATAAGTTTTTTCAACAAAACATTAAAAAAGTTTGCTCCAGCTTTTCCTGAAAGGCAAATAAAAGCTCTGTGTACATTTTTAGCGCATAATTTCAAAAATGCCAAAATTTGAGTTGAGTCACTTTTGAAGATCGTGTGCAATATACTGCATACTCATATGCATATATATGTACGTATGTGTGCACATAATTGCATACGTACATACATACGTATGTAGGCATATCACCACTCGTATGCGCGAACAACGATTGACTTTGCCTGTCTGCTAGTAACTTTGTGCAATCGCTGTGCAAAGTGTATGGATAAATTTGTTGTTTTTTGCTTTTCCGATATTGTCCCCCCCGTTACAAATCCATTGCCATACTTTAATCTTACGTTTTATAACACTTTTAGCATTTTTCAAAACACTTTTCATTCATTTTCATTCGTAATTAACGGTTTATTTTATGAGAATTTACTTTTATTCTTTGAAATTGATACGATTGTGAAATTTTCGGCCAATATTCCGATAATTCACTTTACTTCACTGTACTCGGCAACGGCTTTACTTCGACTCAATTCTGCGCAACCCAGTTCGTCTTGTATACTTCTTTGCAGCCCCCACAAGCGTTTTTTTTGGGAGCATTGTTCGCTCAACGCCAATTGTAGCAGCAGCGGCGGCGGTGCTTATTCTCTTCGTGATGGCGCTCTCTTCTACAGCATTGCATCCAAGTGTACTTGGGAAGCGTAGAGTTGCATTGTTTAAGCATAATTTAGTTTATGGAATTCTATTCAAAGGAAACGGATGTTTTTTTTTTATATTTATTCCAGTAAAATCCGATCGGGCGAAATTCGTAATTTATGAGTTCCGTAATTTTCGGAAACGAGCTGGCATATATGATATGCGTTGAAACAGCTTTTCTATGGACCAGAAGGAGGTCATTTAGAGCCGTTTGCTCAGTGTTAAGGGATTCAAATATACCCGTAGGCATTTGAGCCGGCCAGATCAAGGTTCTCAGTATATTCCACACGGAGATAAGTCTTCAGTGAAAATATCGTAATGAAAATATGGTGGTCTTAAGATGCCCACTTCTATCTCTTAAAATGAGTTCATTATAAAATCGTAAGCGATATGGTTAGGTTATGCTCCCCTAATTTTCTAAAATCCCAGAGAACATACATATCTGTGGACATTTGACTAAACAACTTAAGTCTATCTTTCAAGGACAAAGAAAATGGCATATGTCGGCGAAGCTCTTTGTACCGTCAGAGCAATCATTTCTATTTAAATGAAAACATGCAGTGGTTGCAACCAGAAACATTTTTAATGGTTGTGAATGGCGATAAAATAATTTAACATTTATTTCGAATTGCAACATTTTTCTCTTTGACAGTAAAATATGTTTTGTGGACATATGCTATTTTGTATATCCGTGATGGACAGACTTAAGTTGTTTTGTCAAATGTCCACAGATATCCCATTCGATGTCACCAAACAACCAAAAAACACATATATATCGACGATGTTTTTGCAAAACCGCCTAAATCGCCATTGTGACAAAAATGAGATTTGGTAACCTTGAACTCCAGGCATCGATATTCATGCATACAAATCGTAAAATCGGTATTAAAACAACAGATTTGTAAAATAATAGCTAGAGAATATGCCGCCTATCAAGGCAATGCCTTCAAAGAAAACCCGTAGTTTCGCTCTCCTATAAAATTTGAGTGCCGTAAGATAGGTGGTTTTGCAAAAACATCGACGATATGTATGTTTATACATACCCTGCCAGCAGAGGAACGGAAATTTTGCAAACAGCACTCTCATACAATTTTCCGTATCCTGAATCCCACAGAAAACGTTTACAATTTCCGTTCATTTACGTATCCAAGAACGTCCAAAAAACAACACGCGTTTTCGTTTCCGGAAACGAATAAAAAATGAAATGTATAAAAGGACCAGATTGCATACTAGTAACTTGTTATGCAAGTCTGGACAACGTCAAATTTACAAACTAAAACCTAAACATGTGCTGAACACCACCCCTTCATGGTTCATCGGCATTTTTTTTCGGTTGCCGAATGACATTAGTAAATCCAAATTCAAGGTGGTGAGGCTCAATAGCATCGCAACGTTAATGTTAACAGCCCTTGGTCGGTGTAGGACATTACTTGTTAAGAAATTTAACACTATGTGGTGAAATCTTCTCTTTTATACCACCAATTTTCAAAGGATGATCTTGCTGGTCACTTGAAGGCAACTCCACTGCCTTAACATTTTTTAACACACGAAAGGTTGCCAGTTCGACTACACTATCAGGTCCACAGCCTTCAATCCTTTGGTAAGGACATTTTTCTCGCTGCAACACTGTATCTACACGCTCTGGAAATACTTCACGGGAATGATCGTAACGCGCTTGCAACTGGAAATCCAATGAATCGCGTGGTATTTCTGGTGTTGCAATGAAACGTTTACTTTTTCGCACGGAATTCAAGGTCTGATGATAGAATAGTCTTTCGTGTGGCTTCAAGTTTGTAAACCACAATACACCTTTTGGCACTGGCGGTGGCTGAGGCATGGGACAAAGATAAATGCCCTCGGGAGACAAATCTGGTTCATACCAGACATTCCGCACGCGTACTTTAATTTTTGGCTTTATGTTAGTAGTGCACATGTAGGACATTACTTGTTAAGAAATTTACTTGTTTATTTAAATTTTTACAAAATCTTTTCTGTGGATACTTTTTGTAGTCAAATGAAAAAATGAAAAAATAATTGTGTTAGAGAAAAAATAAAATTTGTAATAAGAACTTTAAATATATTTCGTGTTCGCATTTCTTATTACAGTCGGCTAGAACTAGAGTCATTCCAATACATAGAACCGGCTGTCGAGGGAATGCTGCAGCAGGCTAAGCTCCTGCATGAGTAGGATAAATGCAGATGTGCCCAATTAATACCCGGCATGCGAAGAGTCACCTCGCAACACCACTTTGTATGTCCCCTAAACGTCACTCAACTAACGCCCCTATACTAATGGACCAAACCAGTTGGAGGAACACACTTCTTGGGTCTCCCATTAGTTGAGCTTGAACACAACGATTGAGGGGGACAGGGCTATGGACACGAATTTCGATACGATACGATACCATATCGATATTTTTGCCATTCGATACCGATATTTTTTATTGGATAGTTTTCTAACGATATTTTTTTGAATAAAGTACCAGGACCCCTGTATCGTATCGAATCGAAAATGTACGTTACAAAGTTAATTTGATTACGGTAATACTATTTGTATACATTTTTTTAAAGTGATATTTTGAATATTTAAGGTGAATTTTCCAAATTCTAAAATGTAGAAAGCTTTCGTCCTTATTTACTAACCGAAGTATCTGACAATACGTTACATGGAGTTACGTTACGAAAATATCCATTGACATTTTTTTTGTTAATTATATTCAACAATTTTATCGAGCTGTGAAAAATGGGGTGGAAAAACAGGAATAATTTACACATATAGGTGTCAATGGGATTTGTTATTTTGATTTTTAACTAATATTTTGCGCAAATAAAACATGAATTTTAAGTCGAATATATTTTTAATTTTGACTTCAGCGCCACCCAGCGGTTTCATTTTTTGCAAATATATATCATACTTTGACCTTCCGCTGGAGACGCCTATATGTTTAAACTTTGGCATTCATATGTAAAGCAATACGGATATATTTTGGGCTTTAAAGATCACAAATGTGTATTATCTTAGGCTTCCATATGGCGGGATTTTTACCCGCGTCTTCGGTGTTGTTAATTAACACACCTCTGAGACCAATAGTCTTTACAAAAAATCTGAGATACTTTACCGACCTCAACGGGGTTAGATCGCCGAAACAACAGCCCTTGGTCGGGTAAAACCCGAGTCATTCCGGTACGTAGAACCGGCTGTCGTGGGAATGACTCTAGACCTGTGAATGCCGTTCTAGGCATACCGCCCCCGGACACAGACGAGACGGAGCTTCATCTGCCTCGGGAGACACGAACGACACTAGCACAACTTCGCTCCGGCTACTGCAGCAGGTTATACTCCTACCTGAGTAGATAGAATGAGGATGTGCCAAATGAGTGTCCGGCATGCGGAGAGACCCCACATGACTCGAAACATCTCTTCGCATGCCCGGAAAACCCGACAACCCTAACGGCCTTGTCCCTGTGGACAAACCCCACAGAAGCTGCACGCTTCCTAGGGCTGCCGTTAGTGGAACTTGACGACAACGACTGAGATACCAACCGTCCTGGGCGGGGCCGCTACAACAACAACAACAAGAAATCTGACTGGCAAATGATCGGTCACCTGACGGCCAGTACAGATGCAATAAAGCTGCAATTTCCTCATAAGAAATTCGGGTGTCATATGAAAAACCTGACCAGTTCTTTTGTGTACATGTGACTATGCATCCCTTTATCACATGGGAAAAGGTATCTTTTCTACTTATTGTGTTTCCTAAGGTTATATTCTAGTGTAATTAAAATTCAACGCGCTTTCAAAATATATTTTAACAAAATTTGAATTGCAGCTAGTGACTTTTCAAATTGGGCTTTAACCAACAAGGGTTAAATTATCGTTAATCCAACATGAACATGGGTAATCCAACGCGTCTGGCAACGACTCCCGCACTCATTTGTCAAATTCACCATTATGCTTTTGGATGACAGTTGTTTTGTTGTGTTTTTCTTTCCTCCAGAAAAGTGAAGAGCGCTGGGGCAAAAATTTGGAAAACGAAAATTTAATTTCACTTTCACTATTCACTACGTTAAACAACTATTTCCGTTTTGTAGCGAAGCAAATACCGCCCATCGGGTGAAGTCGAACACTCAAAATAAGATCTAGCTGAGAGGTGCTGGTGCGTGAAGGAGTAATGTCCAGACGGCCAATAACTCATAATTGCCACCAGTTCGATGTACTGCTACGCATGTAAATAGCAAAAGGGCATAGAGAGGAATTGTTAAAATAATAAGTACTCTGGGAGTGATTAAGTACATGAATTGGGAAATAACCAGTCAAAGTTGAGAAGCGAATGTACAAAGTGTGCTTATCTGTAGGTAGTGCAATACACGGCAAAATTATCGAACTTAGGTAAGCAACGCTTGCCAGCGCGCAGCATTGTGTTCCCACACACGCGACGTGAAGAGCTAGGTATTGCTGCCAAGTGAGGATGCAAAGTGCAGCTAGAAAATAATTAACCGTTTTCGTCTGGATAGACGCACTGCAGTTACATGCGAAAACTTTAGCCAACAAACAAAAGGTATTCTACGCCACCACCACACAAATCACCCATCCACCTAACCAATTCATGCCAGCCGCTATGGGAAATTATGATAATGATGGCAAGAAGTCAACACCATGCGCCAATTGTATGGCGGCGCTTAAGTGGATACCAGTCATATTCATCTCCGCCGTTATTGCGTGGTCCTACTACGCTTATGTAGTACAGCTTTGCTTATGTACGTATACATATGTATTAAATAAAGTTTAACATTTCGTTTTTGTAGACTAATTCAATAACAAACACAATTTCTTTTACAGTATCCATTGACAACACCTTTGAAAAGATCGTTTTTCTCATATTCTATCATATAATATGCATGCTGTTTTTCTGGTCCTATTGGAATACCATATTTACACCAGTGGGTACAGTGCCATCAAATGTAAGTACAACAAATGGACTTATCGTATGTATGAAATGCAATAAATGGTTCATATATGTATAGATTTTTCGTAATTTTTAGGTAATTATAGATACTAAAGATACCTTTTCTTATCAACACTTGTGTTATCGCTATGTACAATGTTTCGAAAGCCCTGGCGTAAACTTCCTGTAACAAGTGGTTTTCTTAGTATTAAACAGCTTTATCTATTAATTGATGCATTGCTTTTAGCGAGTATGAAAGATGAATCATTGTTAGCTGAAATGCATAACATACTATGTACACATGTGCATACATATCTAATGCAAAGCTAGCGTATTTATAAATACTGATAAGCTGATAAAGGTTAAAATCTTAGAGTGTGTTGTTCATACTGCACTCCCGGCTCCCAGCGCTATGGGAGTCACTGCACGCTTTTTGTTGTTGCACATTAAATTTAATGGACATGCAAAACCGGCTATACAATGACGTCACATTCTCGCAATAATGATTTCTGTTCATAAATGTTTTTAATTCGGTTTGCTAAAGGTTGTTTGCTTGTATGTAATTTAGCAACACGCGAATTGAAATGAAAAACGAACAATTTTATTTATTATGTGATGAAAAAAGCTCCTTTCAAAGCCGTAATCTGTACATACTTATATCGTACGAGATGTTGTCGTTGTTGTGATAACAGCAGTGGAATTCTGACAATCGCTACGCCAAATTTTCGCCGCCAAAATTCTCTAAATGAAAAGCAGTGGGACCCAAAAATATACTGAATGGAAAAGTAATAGCTGCAATGTGTAATCAGTAGAATGAGTTCTTATATGCAAAACACGGAGCCTAGAAATATGTACCACATAACTATAAGCAAAGTGTTTAAATTTGTATAAAAGTTGTTTCAAAAACTCGCTATACTAATCAGTCAAATCTGGCAGTATGAGAGCATGTAACTAGATGTTGCGTGCTGTTAGGCGCGCCTGATATTCTTTTTGAGAATTTGGCGATCTAAATTAGCGATAGCAAATATTGGAATCCGGCTGCAGCATGAAAATTCACATAGTTTCGGGGCATGTTGTTGGAGTAACAGTCCTTGGCCCGATGCATGTACTGTATACATACATATGTAATTCTTCGCGAATAAACATTTAGCTAAATGTTTGGCCTAGTTTCTCTTTCGCCTTGATTTTTTAGTACTAATGGATAAACCTACCGTTTAACGCCGCCTGGGAACGGCGATTGCTTTGTTGTTTACGTGGCAGAGATACCCCCGAAGGTTTGTCAATGCATGCTAAGGGGAAACCATTATCGTAAAAAAAAACCCTTTTTAAATGTTGCACAGACATGAAGTCGAATCTAGGTATAAGCGCGCACCTACAATCACTCGTCTACGGCAGCTGCAACAAATTCAGTAGACTTTTATCCACTTGAGTTGGTCCCACTATGTCAATCCAGGTTGTTTACTAAAGCTACGGTTTAATGATCCGTATGACGAAATTAGTAAAGCCCATTTCTGCCACATTAGCAGAACAATAAGAACATATTGCCTACTTACATAGAAATTTTTCCGAATAGTGCAAAATTTTTTTATCCATTACCAATTTGTATCCATATATTTACTTACTTTTTCGCAGTGGCGCATACCTGAATCAGACATTGAACACATTTTCCATGCAGACACACAGGAACAACAAAAGCGAATTTTAGAAAACTTTGCCAAAACGCTGCCAGTCACAAATCGGTGAGTGCCTTTTTTATTAATACTATTATAATTAACTATTTTCGAACGTCATTGGTCAGTACTTTAAATGGATCGGTGCGTTTTTGTGAAAAATGCAAAATAATCAAACCAGATTGCGCACATCACTGCAGTGTCTGTGGTTCCTGTGTACTCAAAATGGATCACCATTGTCCCTGGGTAAACAATTGTGTTAACTTTACAAATTACAAGTTTTTTGTACTCTTCTTGGGATATGCGCTACTATATTGTCTTTATGTGGCCTTAACATCGCTGGAATATTTTATACGCTTCTGGCGGGTAAGCATACAAACACACAAATATATCTCCTTTACTTCCCGTATGCATGTAGCATGGTTTGATCAAGTAGTTGTTGTTATTATTTACACTGAACTTCATTAAAAACAAAAAAAAAACACAATATGAAGTCGGATCTCTCACAACAGGGCGATTTAAATGGTGGCATGGGTCGTTTTCACATATTGTTCCTGTTCTTTGTGTCGCTGATGTTTGCAATAAGTTTGGTGAGCCTCTTCGGTTATCACGTTTACTTGACGCTCATGAACCGCACAACGTTGGGTGAGTAGGAGGACTTCGGAGAGTGTAGCTTAAATATAAAAGAAAAATCGCTAATATAAATAAATATTTTTGTAGAGGCTTTCCGCGCGCCAATTTTCCGCATAGGTGGTCCAGATAAGAATGGCTATAATTTGGGAAAGTATGCCAATTTCCAAGAAGTGTTCGGCGATAACTGGAAACTGTGGTTTTTGCCAGTCTACACGAGGTAAATACATTTTTTAATTCCATTTTTAGCAAGAAAATTGTATGTACATTTGTATGTTTGAAACACGCGTATTTAATTTGTTAATAATTTCCATATGTGCAGTGAATGTGTGTGCAGCTTTTTTGTTTTATGCAATTTTTAACTTTTCTTTGCTATAGAATGTGCACTTAGTAATCCTCTTTCCTGTGTCTTAATTTTACTTCCGATTTCTATTTTATTTTGGTCGTACACCTAAACCCGTTTGACGTTGAGGTCTGCTGATATGTATTACCTGAATGTATATAGCACTTATATAGAGTTCTGCTTACGTTTTTATCGAGAAAAATGTTATTTGGCAAATTAAAAACATAAATTTTTATTTGAGTCAGTTTTATTACACAAAAATGGACATTTGTTATTTTAAACTGTGATTTTTTATGAATTTTTATGGTAAAGCGTATAAATTAAGTTGTGAAGACGCATTAGTCGAAATACACTGAATAGCAAAATTTATTTTGGTTTTTGTTCTCCAAACGCCACTATCCAATTTCTATGTAGAATTCCTCGGTGATTCCAAAAATCGAGTTAATTTTTTTTCTATGGATACGTTTTCGAGATATTTGCCATTTACCGTTATTCAGCCTAAAACAAAAATTGGTTCCACTTAAACACGTATATCTTACGAACCAATTTAACAATCTCAATATGAAATACGGCAAATGAAAACTAATAATTCTCCATAAACCATATACATATTTATTTATTTATTTGAACAAAAGTGGTGGTACAAATAAGATAAGAATCTTTTTAAAGTGCATCAACTTCATTTGGTATTTTATTACAGAGTAACAGATCAATTAAAAATAAACTTAGCACTAAAACAAAGCATAAGTAAAGGCTTAACTAATCATAAGCACAATTAAACATATACATAGATAGAAGAAAATGAGTTCAGAGAGGCAGTTGATAGGAAAGAAAGAATATTATTGCAATCACACTCCTCGCAGTGACCCAAAATAGTAATTTATTAGCACTTGACGGATTCTGGTATATTATTCCAAAGCCTCACAGCGTTGATGAAAAACAATCTCGACGAGCTAAGATAGATGTATTTTGGGACAATCAGATCGTGACATCACTTTTCGATAGGACTTATAGTCCCTGACAAATTAGATAATTAGTCATTCCAGTTTTTTTTTTTAATTTTGTAATGACCAAAGAAGGGTTTCAAGAAGCACTTTTGAAGAGTTCTTCTATAGCCGCTTCTCTAATTAATAAAACTCATACCTTTTTGAGGTCCATATCGAATATACTATATGTACATATGTTTCGTTACAACTTAAAATTCATTTATAATGCTAATTAATTTAAACTTATACAAATGCCTAAATTGTAAGTAGGTAACGCCTTTCTAGAAGACATGCAGAGAAGTTCTATTTACAGTACTTCTTGGGTAAGCCTTTTAGAATGACGTCACTTAAGAAGGTCTATCTAAATTACCTTCTCGGGATTAGCCAAAAAGGTATTTTATTATTTGCCGTTCTATTAAATTCTATTAAAAGCTTGATAAGCGTGACTATAAAATGGCAAACTGTAAGAGTTAAAATATGTAACACTAAGGGCCTTAGAAATTGTTGTAATTAAGTTTAACTGATTATTTACATATTTTAAAACAGATAAGTTAACGGCCCTAATGGGAATTTTGTTAAAATAATCTCTACACTGGATTTCAATTGAAATTGGATTCAAATAGCGCGCTGATCTCGCTCTCAAAAATAAATTACGGATTAAGGGAACATCCACTATAGCTTCGTTATTGTGTCACTCTAACTATCCCTAAATATACCTTATACTTTTTTTTTACTTTTACATACATACATATATGATGCGCACTAAAAATAAAGGAAACAATATTTTGGGTCAACACACTTAAAATTTAATCAAATTATCCTCATGTTAATTTCCAACTCCAAGTGCTCCAAAAAAAAAAACTAAATAAATAAAATCCTTGCTCTTCCTACTGTCTAAACGTTGAGTGCCTCTTAGCAAGCGTTAAACATACTTACAAGAAGTGCTGCGCACACAAAACAAGCTATAAATAATAATTCAAAATAATACACTCACTTGCAAATACTGTGGCGACTTTACTAAAATATCTTCAAAAAAAAAAAAAAACTTATAAATCTTTCATAACCCAAATACTATGCTCGTTCGTGGTTTTGTGTCACAGTGTCGGCGATGGATTGACGTACAACACGCAAAAGCAGCACCAGATGCCATCATACGATTCCATGGGCGATACCACACAACAAACCAGGTTAGCATTCTCGAGCAAATCCAGTAACTAATCCAATATCCAGCACGCAGATAAGTGCAAATGTAGTAGTAAGAACGCTTGATGGCGCTAGTAGGTAGAACAAGACAAAATTGATCCACACACACACTAATGTTGTTGTTGTTGATTTTCTTGTATTGTTGTATGCTACGCTATACATTTGTTCCTTATCCAATTGTGCCGTTAATTTAAATTTGAGTAATTTGCCCACACACAAACTTTTGTTGTTATTGTTATTATATATACGAAAAATAAAACAAAAACACACAGCCATAGCCAACATCATCAACTGTTACGCCAGGACGATACACTACCGCTGAATGTCGCAATGCCTGCTATGGGCTCAGTATCTGCTGCTTCCACAGCAACAGTGAAATCGGATGGTGCTGATATGAATGGATTGGTGCCCATAATACCAGTTAAGCCAGTACCAGCGGACGCAACGGCGATCATTGATGGGATAGCATCGACTGATATTGAAGAGGTTGTAGTTATGCCAGCTATAGACACTGCCAATGGAAATGTGGTTATCAACATGCGAGAGCTGGAGGAGAGCTATGGCACGCAGCAAGAGCAGCAGCAAGAAGATGTCGAAAATGTTTAAAAGCAGTGCATTTATTAATAGCAACAATGTAGTATAAAGTTATACTCAGTGCAGCGAAAATAATCAGTAGCCTAAGCATATTTAAAAAAAAAAACTCTAGATATTTCGAAGTACGCACAAACTTGTATATGCCATGGAATTGAAACACCTAGCAGTATCGATTTCACATTAGAATGCAATACCGGTCTTAGGCCTTATTTTTAAAGAGACACCTACAATATTTAGCGTAAAAATCAAGGTTTATACATTAGAGCAGCAGAGCGCACATTCGATTTAGGACTTTATCTTAAAAACTCTTAACCCAAGTTTCAAATAATCCCACTTGTTATCTTCAATCAGTGGATCTCTTCTATCTTCAGTGAATATGAGTTTTATACTTTTGCAGAACATTTTTACTCTAATTACCATTTTAAAGGGAGTAGTTAAAGGATTAAAAATGTTTAAGAACAAATTAGCCGCTAAATTTTACTATGAACTTTAACAACCATAGGTGTCTGAAGACAAGAACTCGATTTGTACATTATTTGTTAATTTACAACGACAAATTTTTAATGGTGTTCGATGTCTGCTGAACCATTTCCTACATAACGCTTTTGTAGAAAATTTTAACCCTCTAACTGCCATTTTCTATGAACTTGCATACATGAAACTGCTTCAAAATAAGAGCCACAAGAGTTAAATTCGTGATCAAAAAGGTGTTAACTTTAAACGACTGTAAAAAAAAAATTTATGCGATTGAGCGAAATCCTTATGATGTTTGACTACTAGCTATGCACCAGTACTAATGTTTGAGCATTCCTCGGTTGAGATGCTAAAACAACAACTCTTAAACTGGTCAACAGTGAAATAAAAGACGCGCAAATTTTTGTAGCTGATGATTTGATGACAGATTTATTTTTTTTTTAACTTTTAACTATTTGAATTTAATAAAAATTGCATTTTATTAATATTTATTTTACTCTGTTGAAAATATGTATTTTAGTAACCTAAGTAAATAGGAAAACGAAATAATTTAACGAAACAAGAAAAACTAGCAAACAATAAAAATCAATTATTTAATTAATTTTTTTAAATTTGTCGATTCCTACTTGAAACATAACCTATAAATAAGTGTGTATACCTTAGCTGTTAGTGTAGTTTAAACCATATGTTTGCCAGTTAGTTAAAGCTTTTGATGCAGTTTAATTCAGCATACATTTGTTTTACTTACAAAAATTTTACAATAAAAATTATAATTCTTTCACCTTATTATCTATTTTTATGTAATTAAAGCATCTTTCGTCGTATCATGGAGAAATTAAAATAGCATAAACAAGCAATAATGCAAGTAAAATACCTTGCAGCTCACCTCATAAGTATTTTTAATAATTTTTTTTCATTTTCAAAGCTCAACTTTTTATTTTTGTGGTATGTAATGATGTGTCATGTTTCTGTATGTGTTGTTCTTTTTTATTTTGTATACATTTATGTATCATGTATATGCTCATGCCTAGTATCATCTGTGTATGCATTAGTCTTTTCTACTTGAATTAATTTGTAATTATGTATTTTTTTGTAATATTTTGTAATACATACATAATTATATTCTTATGTAAATACCTATGTATATCTTTAAATCCAAGTTCGATACAATCTATTTACTTTTAAAAACCAAATGTATGTATAAGCATCTGTAAGAACATTCTCAAGTAAAACTCAATAATTTGCGAAAGAAATTTGTGTTTTTAATTTGCCAAATTAGCTTGTAACATGCTGTGAATATATGTACATATGTTGGTATGTTTTCTATTCATTTCAGCTGCAGTTTTTCTTGGTTAAATAGAATTTTTTTTTTAGTACATATAAATAGTTTCTTGCGCAATTTTATTTTGTAGTCGTGCATGCAAGTTTTAAAAAACTTTGTAGTTCATTTTGTTATTGTAAAGTTAACGAGTCAAAAGGCTTTAGTGTACATACAAATTTTTATTTCTGAAGAATGGCTAGGGTAAAAAAATTTATCCTTAAAACAGCATTTAGTATTCTAAAATAACACAATTGTGATTGTTTTGTTAACATCTAATGATTAAAAATTCGCCGACATTTTTAATATACTTTTTATATTGAGAGGAAAAGGACCCACAATTTCAGAAGGAATATTTCATTAGAGCATTTGAACCCATTAATTAACGAAACGAATTATTTTGTTCAAAAGTCGTAAAAATTAGTTAAAGGCCCATTAGAGAGTTAAGGCAAGATCCATGTGAGACCTCACCCATAATTTATTTTTTCACACTGCGTTTTAAAAATTAGCTTCGAACTATGTTCAAGTCCAAACATGTCGCGCATCTAGATCTAAAGTGAGCTAACTCAAAATTCATAGAGGTAAATTTATCTGCTTGTGGATCGTACAGATTCAACGCAATTAATAGAAAAACAGGTATTACAGTAGTTTGTTTTAGTTAATGTATATAATCATGAACAAAAAAATATTTCCATTAGTTGGATGTAATATAAAATGGATGAAATATCCGAGCTAGTATCTTGCAATCCTGTCATAGAATGTATGAATATATTTGGTAGTTTTACAGCGCAATTCTGGCTGAGGCAGTTGCAGTTGAAAGCCTTTTTCTATTGAGATATCATTCGAAAAAGCTTTCTAAAAATATGCATCCCAATATTATGCTCATTAAAATTAAAAAACAAAAAAAAACATAAAACCCACACATAACATGCATTGTCTATAAGTATATATTTTTCGGCCTATACGAGCAGCATGGGCGATGGTATCAGCTACCCCATACGTCACTTGGAGGAGGATGCCGAATCGTTGCTGGGCAACAGTGATACTCGCATCGAAATGGAAGAGGATGTCTTTCCAGAGACACGTTTTCACAGCTCATACGTTCCATAGTTAATAATTTCCGACGATAACGTGGCATCCTATTATATTTAGTTGATGTTAGCGGTACTAAGTGTGCACTCCAAACGTCGGTGTTATTTATCCAATAATGTTATAGGTATTATTTTAAGAAATTGAAAATACAAAATTTTTTTTTTAGTTGTGTTTTTTTACATTATTATTTTAATTATTTACGCCACGTTATGATGCTGTCGAACAAAAATAATGGTAATTATTAAAAGAAAGCGTATTTACATTTGTACATACATACATACTGATACTTTACTTATTTCTTAAAATCATCTACTACTATCTACCTAAGATATTGTGTGTGCAATATTTGTCATGTTAAATAAAATAAATTAAGGCGATAATTCTATATTTTTCCAAGAACTTCTGGTATAAAATAGGTATTTAACTCTAATGACATATCGTCGATGTTTTTGCAAAACCGCCTATCTTACGGCACTCAAATTTTACAGGAGGACGATATACTTTTACTTATGACATCTATGCTTCTCTAGTTTGTTTCTTCTCAACCCGACTGACTTACAATTTGGGACCTTTAACTTTCATGCTGACACTAATACCGACAGGCTTGATTTAGTAAAAATGCTTATTTTTAACCGACTTCGATAGTTCTTTTTTCATCGGAAACGTGGCACCTCAATGGTAGTTTAGATTCGATAATTGGATCGTGAAGAAATTAACGATAATCTTAAATTTTTATATGAGAATTGAAGTCGGTTTTGTTTTTTGCTTAAAAATTACTTGTTATAAACTACTTTTACCGTCAAATACATAAACAAACATATGTAAGAGTTTGAAAAACAACGCTTATTTTTGAATTCTAGAAACATCTTAAAAAATAACAGCTAGGCCCAAAAATATGCAATGTCTGTAGATAAACATTTTCGATCGCGCATTCGCCACATTTCGTATTGCATATTTTAAGGCACACTCGCTAAGTAACTGAAACCTACTGCACTAATTTGAAGTAGCTTTATTTCCGGTATTTCATAAAGTTTTATAGGGACCAGCTGACAATGTTTGCAACGTTAAATAATAGAATTTCAATTTGCGGGAAATTTGTGTTTTCTTACGGTTTTCTATACTGAAACTTTTTTGAGTTATTTCATAATGGCAATATTTACACACATAAATACAAACATATACTGTACGCAATTAAGGTAATGATTACTTTACATTAGCAGTAACTAGTCACTTTTAGCAAAATTTAATACTGAAGTACTGTTAAATCGGTATTATTGTTCTTGAATTGTAAAAAGCAAAGAAAAACATAAAATTGTAGATGTACGAAAGAGATTACAATTAAGTTTTGTAAATAAGAAATGTATAACAAATTTATAACAATACTTGCTATATTAGATTCGAGTGCTTCGCACAACTGAAATTTTATAAAAAAAGAAACAGAAATTTTGACCTAAACCAGCCGTCAGAGCTACTTTTGCACATCACATATATATATATAACCGAAACTACGGGCTACCAGAAGTAGTGTTCCACAGAGNGGCTTCGCACAACTGAAATTTTATAAAAAAAGAAACAGAAATTTTGACCTAAACCAGCCGTCAGAGCTACTTTTGCACATCACATATATATATAACCGAAACTACGGGCTACCAGAAGTAGTGTTCCACAGAGTATATGCCGTTAGAAATCAATATAAATGTATGTAGCTATAAATATGGATATTTTTAACAGTATTTCTCTTTTCAAAAGCTAACAAATAAATTGAAATCTGACACAGATTAAGCTGTTTAGAAATATGTATAAATAATAATGAAGTTTAAATTGTATATATACATACACCTGCGTTCAACTAATTAGAAACGAAATTCAAACAGATATTGTCTGCAAATTATTTTTAATTTTTTTTATTTTTAATAATTTTCATTTAAACTATAGTTCAATCTGTAACAGAAACCACAATAATAAAAGTTACAAAAATAAATTAATCAAACTTCAAAAAGGTGTCATCAAATTTTCCGAATTTTCAATCAGAATATTTAGAAAACTTTCGGGTATGCAGTTCTGTAGCCCATTTTTCATATAAAAAAAAAATTTTGATCATGTGTTATATGGAATAAAATGCGCAACAACCTCCACAAAAAAAAAATTTAAAAATCAACGGTTATTTTTAACGATTTGAGACTTGCACTTTCTTAGACTACAATTGAATGGGCTACAGAAGTGCATACCCGAAAACTTTCTAAATGTTCTGATTCAAAATTTGGAAATTTTGATGACAAATTTTTAAGTTTGATTAATTTTTTTTTGGAATTTTCGCAAGCTTTGAAACTGTTATTATTGTGGTTTCTGTTACAGATTGAACTATATATATGAAAATCATTAAAAATAAAAAACATAAACATAATTTGCAAACAATATCATTTGAATTTCGTTTCTAATGAGTTGAACGCATGTGTACATACATACATATATTTATGTACTTTAAGTTTAGTATACCAAGAATTCATCATTTCGTGAGAAAATTGTTGATTTCTTAGAAAATTAAATAAAGAAAATACATTCAGATATTTTATTAAATTGAGGTATGTATTTATATTAAGCGTAAAATATATAGAATTATGGCTTACATAATAAGTACATATACATATATAGTATATATAAATGTTGATCATTCGCTGTAAGTTAAACTTACAAATGAAAAAAAAAATACGAAGAATGTATGAATAAGTATGCATACGTATAGACAATTACATATATGTATGTACATATGCATAAGCCAATATACCTATATATGTATTAAAGTGGATACTAGCAGTAAAGTATGTAAGTTTGCATTAAAAAATATTTATTTGTAGTTTAATGAAATCCAGAGTAAAAAGATCTGATTTTTGATGTGTACCTCTTTTGAAGGGGGTGTGCGAAATATGCAAAATTACACAAAAGTAATTAACAATAAAAAGTTATAATCATTTCTTCCGAATCCCACGATTCCGACCGGTGTCAGAAAAGCTTCGAGCGGCTCTAGTACTTATTTCCAGCACCATACTTCCCAAGGTAGGCAAATCGTTAAATTTTTGAAATAAGCAATTCATGAAACCTAAATTTAACATTTTGAAACTTAATTAATCGAAGCGACTTAAATCTCCCATATCTTTCAATG